TCTGAGATATATATTTATGATGCACTAAACATCCGTGGTTATCATCATTTATTTAAATATACTAAATGAAACTTGAACGCTTCCAAAATACTATGTGAGTGCTTTCATATCAAAGAAGAAAAATGAATTACAAATGATAACAAGTATCAATTTGATTCTTGTTCTAGATAATCAACCCGTGTGATTACTATAAAAACCTACGTGCCATAGTTTTTGCTTTAGACTCTTCGATTTGACTTGTAATGCTTTACTCAATTTTCCTTTGTTGAAAATGATAGTGTACGTACTCCCCCTTAACAATGACAAAATTTTTGAACAATTTGAAAGAATGCTTACTAACATTTAGGCTAAAGAAAGTGATTTGATTTATGGAAATGTTAGTTTTATGGTTTTTAATTACTAAATTTGAAATGTTTTCGGAAACCTTAACTAATTCCAAAATCTTGACAAAATAAATATAAATACGTTGCTTATGTTTTATATCTTAATTTATAAAATATAGTTTAATTAGATAAATTAATACGCAAGATTTATTTCTAAAACCTTTAAAAGATTTTTAAATATTAGAAATTGATTTGTAGTCATATGGCAATTTTATATAAGCCTCAATGAAGTCCATCTTTGCCACCCAAACGCGAATTTTGGACTCTTTTACGTTCGTTGACCGTCTAACCCTAGCGGTGCGGCGGCCCGTGGGGGGTCCTCCGCCGAAAGCAAAAAATATCGTTATTTTGCCACCGCTCCTCCACAACACTACCATCCTCTCATAGTCTCATTACCTCCAAGCTGCGATTAAGCTCTACTATGGCTGTTTCATCTTCGACTTCCTGCATCTCCCTCCAAACCTTGTGTCGTCAAAAGGCTACTTCGGACCTTGGTAGTACGACTGGGTCGGTGAAGATGCCGGTGTTCAATTCCGTTGCAAGTTTCAAGAGAAAGAACGTTTCCTTCAGCACTTGTAATGTTTTGGGCGAATTTGAGAGTGAAGGCGCCGGCGAAGCCAACATTAATGATATGAAGGACGAGGTCTTTGTGACGTTTTTCCGGGAAGCGTGGCCGTATTTCACGGCTCATCGTGGCAGCACCTTTGTTGTTGTTCTTTCTGCTGAAGTTATCGATAGCTCCCTTTTAGATCCTATTTTAATGGCAAGTCTCTAATTTACATTCAATCATCCGATTCCTGTTGTCTGATATGTGATTAAGTTAACCTATTAATAGAACGAAGAACTGAAATTCTCGATCTGAATGCAGGATATCTCGCTCCTTCATGGTCTCGGAATCAAATTTGTTCTTGTTCCAGGGACACATGTACAAATCGACCAGCGATTAGCGGAAAAAGGTGAGTTAAAATTGTACTTCTGTAACAAACGCTTCTGTTACTTACATCATCAGTTCATCACTCACGAATCTATTAACAGGTTGTGAACCTAAGTATGTTGGAAGATACAGAATCACAGACCCCGATTCTCTGGATGCAGCAATGGATTCAGCTGGAAGAATCCGTTTCATGATCGAGGCAAAACTCTCTCCGGGACCATCCTTATGCAGCATACGCAGACATGGAGAAAACAGGCGCTGGCATGACAGTGTTAGTGTTGAAAGTGGTAATTTTCTTGCAGCCAAGGTAATCTTTCACACGTTTCGTTCCTCTCTTCCATTGCTGTGTTCTTCTCTTCCATTGTTGTAAACTAATCCATGTATAACATTTGACAGAAAAGAGGAGTTGTTGAAGGAATTGATTACGGAGCAACAGGTGAAGTAAAGAAAGTTGATGTTGAACGCATTCGTAAGAAGCTGGACAATGATTCCATTGTCATCTTAAGCAACCTTGGACATTCAAGCTCTGGTGAAGTGCTAAATTGCAAGTATGCTATATAGTAAAATGGATTTACTAATTACTTATAGGTACCTTTTACTGTTTGCCATGATCTCTAACTGAAAATACTAACAGTTACTAATGTTTCCTGCTTCCAATAATCCAGCACATATGAAGTTGCTACAGCTTGCGCTTTAGCTCTTGGAGCTGAGAAGCTTATATGCGTCATTGATGGTCCAATTTTGGATGAATGGGGTCGTTTGATTAGGTTTTTGACTCTTGAAGATGCAGACATGTTGATTCGTAGACGAGCTAAACAAAGTGAGATTGCTGCTAATTACGTAAAAGCCATCGGAGAGGAAGACTCCAATTCCATTTCCAATTCCAATTCCATTGATTTTAGCACCATGAATGGAATGGCATCGAGTGACAGGTATACTGCCAAATTCCAGAATGGTGTTGGTTTTGATAATGGAAATGGTTTGTGGTCAAGTGAACAAGGGTTTGCCATTGGAGGACAAGAAAGGTTGAGTAGATCAAATGGGTATTTATCAGAGTTGGCAGCTGCAGCTTTTGTTTGTAGAGTAAGTTCTTAAAATAATTATTAATTTTGTACTATAAATTAACTTAATGAACACTACTAATTATGTTTTTTTTTTTTTTTTTTTTTTTTATACTTTACATTAGGGAGGTGTCCAGAGAGTTCATTTGCTAGATGGGAGTATATCTGGAGTGCTACTGAAGGAGCTCTTCCAAAGAGATGGAGTAGGGACTATGGTGGCTAGGTATGTTATATGTATATATATCATCCTAATATATCTTACACATATAAAACAGAAGATTTAAGATTGATATATATATATTATTTTGTATTTTTTTAGTGATCTTTATGAAGGTACCAGAATGGGAAAGGTGGATGATCTTCCTGGAATAAGACAAATATTCAAACCTTTGGAAGATTCTGGAACTCTGGTCAAGAGAACCGATGAAGAGGTGAAAAAAATGCGTTCTTTTTGATAAATATTAATTTTGGTTTATGTCATATTTAGATAAGTTGATTGTACATTATGTTATGTTGTGTTAGTTACTGAAAGCATTGGATTCTTTCATTGTGGTGGAGAGAGAGGGGCAAATTATCGCGTGTGCTGCTCTTTTTCCATTTTATGAAGAAAAGTGTGGGGAGGTGGCTGCGATTGCTGTTTCTCCGGACTGTAGGGGACAAGGGCAAGGGGACAAATTGCTTGGTATGTTTTGACCTGTTTTATTTACTGAAAATTAGAAGAAAAGTCAATAGGTTTTTTTTTTGGCTGATTTTGATAATGATGGCAGATTATATTGAGAAAAAAGCATCTTCAATGGGACTACAGAAGCTGTTCTTGCTGACAACTCGAACAGCAGATTGGTTTGTAAGGCGGGGGTTTTCGGAGTGCTCGATTGAGGGTATACCAGAGGAAAGGAGGAAAAGGATAAATTTATCGCGGGGATCTAAGTATTATATGAAACAACTGCTACCTGACACTAGTGGAATCCGTTTTAATAGTATGTTTGCTTGAGTTGTGTTGATATAGATGGAGCTAGTTACTTTATAAATTACGCTAGTGGAATCCGTAATTTATGAATAAGTTTGTTAGTGTGCATGTGTTTTTTTAAAAAAAAAATATAAATAAGAGAATGTTTGTGATAGTTACTTTATAAAGAGGATGTTTTAGTATTTGGATGGGCCGAGGAAAACATGCATTGATGCATGCATGATCTAAATGGGGTAAATCCCTCTTGTGGACCTGGGGAGTGAGGAAATAAAATGATAAAATATGAGAAAGCATGTATGGAAAATCAACACATGTTTATTTGTTTATTTGTGTTTGATACTTTAGGTTTTTTTGTTACAGAAGCTGTGAAGTTATTCAATAGAGAACAACAGATCATGCATAGTAATCTTATGATTCCAAGATCTATATTATGTTTTTAAAAGAATTAGTTTTGCCATCTGAAAAACACTAGCATCTGTTTATAAATTACGCTACTAACACTTGTATACAACATGATTCTTTTATTACTTGTTAATTTTTACATTAAGTTGGAAGGCAAATGACAACAAATTATGCTACTAATTCTTTATGGATGACAAACTAATTAAAAAAAAACTACATCAACATCTATCCACAACATCGGACAAAAGAAAACCAAACATATCATGATGTAAATGGTATAAACATATGTTAGATTTTCAATGCACTATTTTTCATGCTTTGTCACAACTTTTTAGTAGATTGCTATGAAATTTTCCTCCTTCAAGCTTGTGAGATAGGAAACTTTTGTTAGATCTACAGATGTGTTTTTTCAACAATTTATAAAAAAAAAATCAAAACCAAAACATCACCTAGTTTAAGTGTTACCTTTTTTTCAAACGAGTTAGTCAAAAAGTTTACCTGTGCTTTTTCTTGGTGAGAACCTTTTGGCCAAAACCATCTATGGAGATAAAAAGAAGAAAATCCTAAGAATATGATCATTATCTATCTAAATAAGAGAGTGTTTGTAAGTCTATATATGTTATTTATGTAATCAACCGACTTTTCTGATCAAACAAACTGTTAGTTTTTTGCAATTTACCTTCACTTGATAGTAACCTTGGCACATTATGCAACTTGAGATCTTTAGTGGTACAATTTACTGATTTTTTCTTAATAAAAATGATATATTTTTTAAACTATATTTCTTAAGCTACAATGTGTTCATTCATGATTACTGAAAATGAAGATCTTCGATTCTTCGGATTTTGTATGTTAAATTGAAAATAAGTTTAAGAAAATGTTAATATTATAAATGAGCAACATATTACTTGAGATGTTAAACTTAAAATTATTATTATTATTATTACTATTATTATTATTATTATTATTATTATTATTATAAGCTAAGCAATTGGAACATTTTGTTCATTAAATATCTTTAATTTAATGGTATTTTCAGAATAAAAGTTACAACTCATACTTTGTGATAGTATTTTTTTTTTAAATAATAGTTTTTTGTAAACGAAAACAAAATTTGTAACCTTTTAAGAAACAATAGATAGAAATTCCAAAGCTGAAACTATATATAGTTTTTAAAAAAAGGGATATTTTAGAAACACTTCAAAACCATTGGGCCAAAAGTGAAGAAACAACGCATTTGAAGGTCTGGCAATGAAATTACAAGTTTGTACAGGAAAGGGCGGGTGAACCGGATTAAATAGGGCAAAATTTGCTAAATTCGTTACTACTTTCTGTAATCGATAGAAACTTATTTTAGGGTTTGAATCAGATTCAACAAACTGATGCTGCGTCGCTGTCTCCGATTTCACTTGAGCTTCCCGTTTCTGCCTTAAACACTGTTTTTTTTATTTTTTATTTTTTTTATTACCACTGGTAAACCCACTGAACTGTTTGTACATGTTTGAGCTATGGTATTTCAAATGCTAGTTTCATTACGAATGCATATTGAATGAAATCGATGAAAATCTGTACGAAATGCTAAATTTTTAATGCAGAATTGGAGAGTGAAAGTTTTGCATCATTGAGTGCGTGTGTTGTTCTGATCATTAATCCATAATTAGTTTAGAATTGGCGATTCCCTCTTCGATCATAGATTATTGTGATAAGGGTTTGTAAACTTAAAAGTTTTTTGTTTGGAATTTGTTGTAGGAAAGATTTCAGAGGTGCATAAATGGGCGTACCTAAGCAGAAGTGGACATCAGAAGAGGAAGCTGCTCTTAAAGCTGGAATAGCCAAGTATGGACCAGGGAAATGGAGCACAATTCTCAAAGATCCAGAGTTTTCTTCTGTGTTGCATTTGCGTTCCAATGTGGACCTTAAGGTTGAAACAACTTCTACAAACTGGATTATAAGATCAAATCGAGTATGCTACATTACTACAAAACACATAACGTTATATTTATAGTTGTGTTTGTTTTCCTGAAACAGGATAAATGGAGAAATATGAACTGCATGGGTAGTAGCTATGGATCTCGCCAAAGGGGTAGTAGACCTGCAAAATCTCAGCCAATTCATAAGTCTGAAGATATTTCTACTTCTTCTAAAGAAGAAGATGGTATGCAAATTTGTATTGTAGATCCTCTTCCAACATTAGCTCTACCATTGCAAATTCATGATTCCAAGAAGCCAATGCAAAGGTCACATCACTTAATCAAATTGTATAACCAATTGTTACTTAAGGGGACTGATAAATACATGTACATTATTTTAATTTGTAGATTGGAATTGGATAGCCTTATATTGGATACAATAGCTAATCTGAAGGAGACTTGTGGCTCTAGTCGTGCTTCAATTGCTGAATATATTGAGGTATAAATTCATTCCAATTGCATGAATTTCAAGCATCAGAATTTGAAGACATGATTAATGGGTTTTGTTCATTTTTGCTATTTGTTTACTATTCTTCATAGTTTCAGCATTTTGAGAACTTATTTCAGGAGAATCAGTCAACACCTCCCAACTTTGGAAAACAGTTGAAAGAAGAGTTAAATGCTTTAATCGATTGTGGGAAATTGATTAAGGTAATTGGCTGTTGTTATATGGTATCCATTTTCATTGAAGAACGTATACGATAATCTTAATTTATATTTTGTCTTCATTGGAATTGGATCATATAGGTAAAGCATAGGTACAGAATTGCACCAAGTTCATATGTAAAAAAGAGCTCAAAAAATGAAGAGAATTGCAGAGTGGGAGAGACAAGTGGCAACAAGATAATTACAAAAGCAGAAATAGATGCAGAGTTGGAGAAGATGAAGATGATGACACCTCAGGAGGCTGCTGCTGTTGCTGTGGAAGCAGTTGCAGAAGCAGAAGCTGCTATTTTGGAAGCTGAAAGGGCAGAAAGGGAAGCAGAAGTTGCAGAAGCTGATGCAGAGTTAGCTAAAGGGTTTGCTGCTGCTGCAATGTGTGCGTTAAAGAAAACTGCATTTTGGGCATGGTAGTAGAAATGTTGATTTTATGCTTTTATTATAAAAGTTGACTTACAAAATATTTGTTCATCTGCAGAATATAATGAGATTGAAACAGGATTTTGGAGGTGATCGTTGTGTTGAGATATGTGGATTGTTGTAAAGGCTTGTGGATTTTGTTCTCTTTTGAGGTATAAAATGAATGAGAGTATTTAATTAGGTAAACAAAAATTGTTTTGGGTAAACTGCTCACAAATATGAGATTGGAGAACACAAATACCATATTTTATAGGATTAAAACGTGCTTTTTTGAAAACAAACCCACTTATGTAAATACTTGATTAGCACAATGCGAAGAAAAGAAGTGTAAAGAATGCCTCAAACTGTCATATGGTTGTTAATTAAATAAAAAAGATGAGATAATGACTTAAAAGGATAATAATAACTATCTTATTAATAATATTTTTTTATGTTTAGTTTGATGTTTTAAATCATACATTGATTTTTTTTGTTGATTCTTTTGTTAAATTTTTGTTGAAATATGTCAAATGTTGTATTATTTGAAGTAACAAAAATGGAAAAATAAAAATTTGATAGACCATACACATCCAATCATTTTATTTATTTTTCTCGAAAATAAAAAATAAAAACTTAAGGGGTGTTTGACTTAGTTTTTGAATACCCAAAAGTTCTTTTAGAAAAAGATCATTGGCAAAAAATGTTTGACAAAGAACTTTTAAAAGCCACTTTTGGATTTTACAAAGAAGGAAAAGCAACTTTTTGAAAAAGTCAGAAAATCTTTTGGTATTTAAAAAGCTAAGCCAAACACCCCCTTAATCAGTTTCAATCAAACACAAACACCTAAACACCATAAATAAAACTCAATCTTCTTAAAAATTCTCCAAAAAAACTAAATACACTTTTCCACAAGCATCTTCAAGGAATATTGCAATTACTTCTAGAAAGCTCAATTAGTTAGCATTATTCTTATTTTTACCAAAACATAGAATATTCTCATGATGGTTAGAAATTAACAAAAAAAATAAATGGTTAAAAAACCTATATTTGACAACATAGTTACCATAAGAATCAAAACACTAGCCATTTTGAAGCAATATGCTTTTTCTGTCTCATATCACCATTTCTCTAAAAATATTCTCAAGTTTGTTTTAATTAGTTGAGTTCAAGTTGATTTATAAAAGCTAAATGTGGTTTGCAAGTTTATAGAAACAATTCATGACAATAAAAGAAAAACAAGATTCAAGGAAACAAACCATACCTCAAGTCTCAAAGAGTTAAAAATTACTAAAACCGTAGAGTTTACTCTTCCTCTAGAACATAGAAGTTATACACATCAATCAAGAACAAAATAGAGTGTAATAATAAATCAACTATGCAAACCAAATCACCACCAAAAATCCCATCCTTTTTCATAAAAATATTCCATTCCCCTTTCTTTATCATCATCTTCTTCAACTTTTAGATTTTGAATGCTTTATAAGCCAATCAATCACCGAATCTATATTCGTCGAGTTCTTGCAAGAAATCATAAAGCAACACACTTCTCTTTCACCAATCGATCTCAACCCCCTACACAAACAACAAAATTTTCTTAATGTTTTTTATCCTTTTAGGACAGACAATCCAGTTTCAGTATCAGTATCAATATCAATATCAGTATCAGTTTGGGTCAGTTAAAAAAAACTTGTCTCACATTTGATCGGTCAACGCCTCCTTGGAGAGCGCACCAGTCTTATCAATCTTGTTTCCAAGAACAAGTAAAGGAATACCAGTCAACGCTGGTTTGTTAATCAAATCATGGAGTTCACTTTTTGAAATGCTCAGATTTTCATGATCCGCTGCATCAACAACGTAACTGTATAAACCACACAAAAAAAAGTCAACATTTTGACACAAAAAAGTCAACTCTTTCAAGGATTTCATAATAGCAAGTAGTCAAATACACAATGGCGGAAACTGCACGACAATATCTCTCCCACATGCTACGAAATCGTGGTTGACCTCCAAGATCCCATAGTTTTATGGTCACGTTTCCTTTTGTTACTTTTCGCATATTAAATCCCACCTGAAATTTGACATTTTTTAAATTCGATTCATGATGTTGTTGAAGGAATTAGGTTACTATGTGTTATTGTTAGTGAGATTAATTAATTTTGGAAGAAAAGAAAACACACCGTAGGGATCATGTCTTCGCTGTATCCACCAGTCTATGAGCATTCATAAAATCAAGAAAAGATTAACAAAGAATTGGAATTGAGATACGATTGTAACGAATATGGAAGTTGCTTAGTGTTTACTTACAGCAACAACGTTTACGAGTGAAGTTTTTCCAGCGTTCTGGAGCCCTATCAAAGAGAGCTCCATTTCCTGCTTGAAGAAGAGGCTGTGAAATATGATATCAAGATTAGCGAATGCAGGGTTAATTCATAAACACATCGACGAAATTTTCAATTCAAGGATGAAGTTCATAATACGAAACCCTAACAGGAAAAAGATGAAGGCAAACAAACAAACAATCGATTATTAATTCGAATTGGAACACAAATTATGCGAATTTAGGGCGTGAATCGGAAAGTGGAATGATTACCTTCGAAGCCAATTGAGAAGAGCTTCCCATAAACCCATTCCGGTTGAGTGAAGAAGAAGATAATTCAAAGGAAAAACGAAAAGAGGACGCGATTTATTGAAGCAGATCGATCACTCTCTTTTACTCTCTGACCTTCGAAATTATTTGGTTTCTTTTGGGGATAACTTACCTTCTGTTTTCTTCCTTCTCTCTCTTCTACATTAAATTTCTAACAACAGAGAAGCGTAATCAATGAATTAAATTATTGATTGCCATAAAAACACAATAATTGATTGGAATTGGGATTGGGATTGGGATTTCTTGAATTTAGAAGGTCACCTGAGATTAAGCAGCTCAGCTTCGTGGTGTAAATCTTGAATGGACGTTCAAACTTTACTAGGAGTGGAGTTGAGTCGGCGATGATTGACGATGGTGGGTGGTGGTTGATTTATCGACGTTTTGGTTTCGTGGATGCACGTTTGCCTGTGGAACTCTTTGACACCCAATCTCTTTGTTTTATTTCTCTTTTTCCAAACAAAATAGATGAACATATGTTTTAACGTGTAAGGTGATTATATTATATAAAATAACAAAAATAAGATTTATATTTCGTAACAAGATAAGTTTAAAAGGATAATGCTTAGATTTGTTTCTGTTACGATTTCTAGAATAACAGTTAACCGATGAAAAGGGTAATAACATAAATTGAAAACTAATAACATAACATGTTATTTGTTTTTTAATAATTTATATTTTAATTGTGTTTAATTAATCACTAACTATTTTATTTTTGGGTTTTAACATTCTTATTTTAGATTTAAATTTTTATTGTTTCTTAATTATTAAAATTTTAATTGTATTCAATTGACCACTAGCTATTTTATTTTTAAATTTTAACATTCTTATTTTAGATTTAAATTTTTGTTATTTTAGTACAATTTAATTTAAATAAATAAATAAAATAAAAACTAATTTATTTGTTATTAAAAAGTTAATTTGAGAATAGAAATAAACAAAAATTGTTTAAACAAAAAGTTTGAAGTTGTTATAAGATTTAATTGATAGTTAAATCATGATTTTAGTGATTATGGAGTAAAAGTGACAACTAGGTTAAAATTATCGTGTTTCACATTGACTTGTTCTAACGAATAATTTGTAAACAAATACAGTGATTGTGATAATAGTTGGTGTCTTAAAAGTTTGACTAAGTTCTACTAAACTCAAAATTTATGAAATGGGAAGAGGAGGGGGGGGGGGTTAATTTGTAAACTCATCAAATTATAAATATAATATAACTCCTCTCTTCCTATTTAGAGAAAATAGAAGCTTACATGACGATTTTGAAAGAATTTGAAGTGTATGTTAGAATTTTCACGTGATTTGAAGAGGAGAAGCTAGAGATTCTATCATTTAACATTTAAAGGTATATCTACACCTTATTCTCTCTTAATTAGCGAGCCAATGTGTGGGTTAACAACCAAACCCAAAATTCTAAGCTTAAGTAGTGATTTGTGTACGATTTGGAACTAGGAACATACACCATATCATCCACAAATCATCATTTCACCGGTAAAATGATTGATTTTGTCTCTAATGATGAATTTGGGAAGATTTAGAACAATAATTTGATAATGTGTCGTTTTATGGTTCTAAATCTTCAATGCAGTTGTACTCTAACTGATAAAGTTGTATTAGATCGAAATCTATGATTATAGGTTGAGAGAGAGAGAGAGAGAGAGAGAGAGAGAGAGAAAGAGAATATATATATATATATATATATATATATATATATATATATATATATATATATATGTGTGTGTGTGTGTGTGTATGAGGTTTTTGTCATAGAGACCCAATTAACTTCTACATTAGGTTTTAAACGACCAATTATGTTTATTTTTGGCCTTTATGGACCCTCTAACTCGAAAATTGCCTGTCTTTTATACAAATTACGTTAAAATTTACCCACGATTGCTGGTTATCCATTAATTACTACATAGGTGGACAATGTTGTCCATATAGATACATAGTTGGCAGGTGACGAATCAACTTCATTAATATGCTATTAATAGTGCCCTAAATAAAGAAAAGATATTCAAGATCATTTCCACTTGATAACATATATTTTTCCGGTCACAAACCCTTAAGAATCGATTATCTTCTCCTTTAATGGTATACTCATCTGGATCATCCTTTGAGAAACAAATTGTTCTTGCTACTAGGAATCGTGACAAGAACTTGTGCCCTTGTCATCATCCAAAGTCGATGTCAGATAAGAATCCAACTCGTAGATTTCGCAACTGCGTTGAAAATCTTTGGTAAGCATCATATTCTTTGAAACATCCCAGTTAATGGTCAAATTTGACCAAACTCGCCGAGTGCACTCGCTGACTCGACGAGTTCATGAGTATACCTTGAATCCTTCTAAGACCTCACTCGACTCGTCAAGATAACCTCCTAACTCAATGGGTTACCACTGGTCACGAATCACGGGGCAACCCGACTCGACTCATCGAGTCCTCTCATGGACTCGGCGAGTGTACTCCATGGCAACACTCACTTGACCTCCTGAAGTCATATCTGTTCCTCTAATCTATAGATCTGGCCTTTTAGCACTCAAAAGTCACGTAAAGGTCTGAACTTGATGTCCATGCACGGTACATCAAGCTCCATTTAATGAAATAACCACTTTAATGGTGTTTTAGGCTCAACACACTCATGGAGCTACATAAAGCTAAGCTCAAGGGACTCTCTGGACCTATCAAGGTCCAGATCTAATGTCTAAATCGAAAAGGGACCTCTCATCTTCATAACCTAGCTCCAAAAGAGGGTAAAGAACCCAAAGTC